ACAGGAGAGGCTGATTCAGGAGCACAGACACACTCACAACTATAAATGAACCAAAAATAAATAAATAAACAAGTTTCAGTGTTTTTCATATTGGAAATGGTACGTTATTGGTTATGGCCATGATTTTATGATTATTGAAATGTATACAGTTCTGTTTCATATAGGTGTTCCCATAGATCTAGCCTCTTTATTTTCCCCTTAAAATGCACCAGATTGATGCATTTAACTCCAAAATAAAAATCTTACCGGGGGAGCATGCCCCCGGACCCCCCTAGAGGATTTGTGGTCGACCCCCACTTAAAATCACATGGATAGGTTCCTAAATACATTTACAATTTTTTTTAAATAGTAACCCATGTCCATATGTTTATTTGTGGGTAGTAGATTTAAACTATAGGGCTATCACTATGGGCCCTGTCTGTACCTGTTCACTCTGCCATCGCGTGAAGGGTCTGCTAACAAGCGACCAACAGAAAGGTTAATGTTAATGTTGTTGCACGTCACAAAGGCTCGTCACCTCGACGCCCCCCCCCCCGTTACCACCACCCCCCCAAGTATATTTCAGATCTGTGGGAAACACTGATATCCATAGCAATGCTTTGTTTGTTAAAAGAGCAACTTCAAATTCAACAAGGCTCTTACTGAAATGCCATTCCTATCTCTAATGATAACATCATCCTAATAAAGTAATGGCTTAGATTTAGCAACACAGTGACATTCAGACAGTTGAAGTACTGCAGCAATTAAAAACCAAACTACTTTATTTTCGACTAAAATCAGAAGTCTGCCTTGTATAGCTGGTTATAGCTTTTGAATATGCAAATGCAGCAGTAACAACACAGTGGGGAGCCATAGGCTGGTATCCCTCATCTTAAGGGGAGCTCTGAGGCTTCGCCCCCCGAACGTCCCAAGGGCTCCTACATGGGACCTGCCCTTGGTGCTGGATGCCCTATGCTCGCCTCTCTTTGAACCCTTGTCACAGGCAGAACTGAGGTGGCTCTCAGCCAAGACTGCTTTCCTTCTTGCCATCACCTCAGCAAAGCTTGTAAGCGAGCTTCAGGCCTTGTCCGCGAACAGCTCGTGTCTGAGGTGGAACTCAGATGGCTCAGGTGTCACCTTATGGCTGAATACAGCGTTCCTCCCTAAGGTGCTGGCACGCTCTCATTTTAATCGGCCTATCCAGCTTGCACGGTTTGACCCCCCATCAGGAGAGGGGGAAGAGAGGTCAAGACTCTTATGCCCGGTGCGGGCCCTTAGAGCTTGTGTCCAGACTACCGCAGGCATCAGAGTTCCCGTTAGCCGGTAATTACCGGACTACGACCGGTAAAATATGCTGAAGACCGGCAAATCTAAATCTCTCCGGTCAAAGTGTCCGTTCAAAATAATTTCCGTTTAGCGCAATACCACATCAGTTGCGCAACTTGCGCCATTTATGTGACAGACAAGAATAGTCAATTCTAATGTCTAACCATAGTGTCTAACATGTAATGTGGAGAAAGAGATGAACTGTGTGGGTTGATTGTGCGTTGATCTGTTGGTAATGCCTCGGGGTTCCGGTGGGCATGTAAACAAATGCATAATGCTGCACTATACTTTGCGGCCTCACCCGGTTGCATAGCGACGCTTATTGTTTAGGTGTCTTTTGATAAGCAGGTAGTCCTATCATTAGCTAGAACTAGCTGGATCTGATCGATATGGACATAAACGCGAGTGAAGTCTAATCTGACGGGAGAGAGAGATCAGCTGCTGCTGACGAGTCGACATGCAGCTCTGCATGATCACATGCAGCGGTGAGCGGACAAAACACACACTTCAGGTTAGAATATCACACGTAGCTATTTTAATGACCTCTCAAACTACCTACACTAGTTATAGATATTAGGGGTGTAACGGTACACGTACCCGTACCGAAATTATTCGGTACGGGCCCTTCGGTTCGGTACAGGTGTGTACCGAAGTGTACCGAACGAATATAACGTTGAACGTAAAAAATTGAGAACGTGAACAACTGCTTGGAAGTAATCTCAGGTGCTGCGTCGCAGCATTCAGAGTAATTTGCTCACATTGGGTTCAACGCGTCATAGAGCGAGCAAGTCATTTCATTGGATGAGAGGCATACTATAAGAGCTGGTCAGAGGGATGCGTTCAAATGTAGTCAGTAATTTGAGGAACTGTCGAAAATTAATGGCGAACGCAGATAAAGTTGAGCTCGAAAATCCTCCAGCATCATTGAAGTCTCCGGTTTGGGAACATTTTGGTTTCGCAGTTACGTACAAGGGTGACGGACAAAGACAGGTGGACCGAACCAAAGCTGTTTGTCGGCATTGTTCAACTAAAATTGGTTACGCGGCTGGCAATACATCAAACTTGCACACTCTTGAAAAGGCATCACCCGAACGTGAATATCACCGGTACCAAAAGAAAAAAGACTGAAGTGCAAACCCAACTCCCACTAGCATGTAAGCCTCCACCACTCGCAGAGAGTTCAGACCGAGCCAAAGCTATTACAAACACCAAATATCCTTATGTTGCCATGTTAGCAAAGCGCTACCTGGCTGTATCTGCTACCTCTGTCCCTAGAGAGAGGGTGTTCTCCACAGCAGGAGACATTGTTAGTGCCAGCAGATCTGCCCTTTCGGCAAGCAATGTGGACACGTTCATCTTTCTTTAAACAACAAAATACAATGACAAGCAAGTCCTAATGTCAAACTGGCTGCTTAGGTGCTAGTACAGTAGGCTACAGTTCAAATACAGATTATTTCAGTTCATCGAAATGCTGCACCTTAATGTTCATTTTATTATATTTTGTATTTATTTGAGTGAATATTCACAGTTTAATAATAATTAAAAAACCCAAAACTAATAGTTTATGTTTTGTGAGTACTAGTACAGTAAAGTTCAAATACAGATTATTTCAGTTCATCGAAATGCTGCACCTTAATGTTTATTTTATTATATGTTGTATTTATTTGAGTGAATACATTATTCACAGTTTAATAATAATAAATATATATATATATGTTTTGTTTTGTGAAAAAAAAATTATGCTGTACCGAAAACGTACCGAACCGAACCGTGACCAAAAAACCGAGGTACGTACCGAACCGAAATGTTTGTGAACCGTTACACCCCTAATAGATATGTTTTAGTTTTACTGTCGGGTCACTCATTACTGATCCGCGAGCTGCATGATACTGACGGCTGTCAGGAGAGGGGGAGAGCGCTCCGTTTATTATTCCCGTGTTATTGTAAGTTACTGTTCACTTTTGAATAATGTAGTTAATCTACTATGATTAGTTTGTTTAATATCGAATCATCGAAAAGTGCCGGTCAAGACCTTTGACCGGCACTTTTCTCATTTTGTCCGGAAGATTTAAACTTTAACCGACACGTTGACCGGCGAAAAAATATTCTGCGCTTGTCCTACTGGATCATGGACGTCATTGCCCAGGCATACAAGGCGAATGACCGTCCCTTGCCACCCAGAGTAAAGTGCCACTCTACCAGGAGTGTCTCCACGTCATGGGCGACCGTGTGCCCCTGGAACCAATATGTGCCGCGGCCACATGGGCATCCCCGAGCACATTCGCCAGATACTACAGAATGAATGTTGCCGCCCCTCAGCCGTTGGGTGTGATCCTCCTGCTGAGTCCACCTAGGCCATCCCTATAGGGCAGTGGTTCTCAAAGTGGGGGGCGCGCCCACCCAGGGGGGCGCAGAGGCATGACAGGGGGGGCGCGAGAGACCAGGAGGAAAAATGGTTATTAAAAAAAAAAAAAAAGATTATAAAAAAAAAAAAAAATCATATTTTGAAAAATTATTGATTCGAAAATAATATGATACAGTACTATTACGTCTGGGTCTCTGTGTTTCATTAAAGCTCGGCTCTGTGTGTGTGTGTGTGTGTGTGTGTGTGTGTGTGTGTGTGTGTGTGGAACGAGGCACACGTTTATATGATCATTATAGTTATACAAAAATAAGAGAATACATGAAAAACAGCTATGAAATACTATATGACAGTAAAACAAGAATAAAGTTTAAAAGAGTGATTTATAAAATATCCATAAAGAAATAGTAAATCTGTTTACAATTCTGTTTCATCTGGGTGTTGAGAGTATCCATAGATCTCTTCATTTTGCTCTCAAAGTGCACCAGATTGATGCTTTCAACTTCAATATTTAAAAATCTTCCCGGGGGAGCATGCCCCCAGACCCCCCTATGTGAGGTCCACACACCACCTATAAAAATAGCACTTTACCCCTGCTTACACCTATATGCCGAGACTTGATATCGAGCCTTCATTGTAACAGTCGCGGGTACATAGTGTATGTGCGTGGGGAGTGTTGCAGTAGAAAATTCCACTGTAGCGACCGGTACATTAATGGGAAACCCTAAATGTTTGAGCACGCTCTATGAAAGGTCAAGCTACCCCACAGCACCCCCAAAAGAAATCTCTGGCGCCGCCACTGAGCCTGACTATTTGTGTTGGGGGGGGCCCGACTTTTTTTTTTCTCCAAAGGGGGGGCCTGACCGAAAAAGTTTGAGAACCACTGCTATAGGGTAAGTACTCAGACTTTCTCGTGACTCTGTTGATATAAGTCATCCAGTGCTAAGCACCGCCTCTGGCGGTCAGTAAGGATGAAATAGAATGATAGTTACGTATGTAACTACGGTTCTATGAATCCTGGATGACCGCCAGAGTTCTTGGTCACTCGGAATCTCACAATTCCATAGGACTGAACTCGTTGACAAAACCGGAACTTATGCCTTCCGGGGTCATACGAGGTCACACGTGACTTTGTTGATATAAATATTCGACCTGCGCATGCGCGAGACAGAAGATATTCAGTGCTAAACACCGCCTCTGGCGGTCATCCAGGATTCATAGAACCGTAGTCACATACGTAACTATCGTTTGATATGATATTTTACTTTTGTCCATCCAACCGAATATCTTCCCTCTGCCCCACTACTAACAAAAAATGGATTCTGTTACTCACCTGACATAAGAAACGTACGAGCTCCACTGCAGGTACTTGGGGATCGTGTCAAAGTTCACAAAGAATCCAGAGAACAGTAGCACAGGGATAGCTGTGACAGGTCCAACAAATGTAGCTACCTGTATAAGAATGCAGAGCACAAAATATGTCTTATATGTGTAACATGAGCCAAGACATCCTATATTAAACATTCAAACATGCCGCACCTGTAGTGAGGGGGAGGCAGCCCCCACCAGAAGGCCCAGAGACTGAGCTACCAGGGCCGTGCAGATGGACAGGGCGAGGAAGAGGAGGTAGCGGGTGGCCTCCGGGGGCTGCTTCGTCATCCAGTACACTATGCTGCAGTACATGATGGGGCAGATCACCTAAAACCACATCAGAAGATCTTCGGTTTCATTATATTCAAGAATAACAAAGTTTCCCAGCCTCTTCTCGATGCAGTTAAAAACAGAAACTAATAAATGGACAGATCTAATTCCTTTCCCTAAATAAGACTTTAAAAAAAAATCTAATGTATGAGTGAAAACTGCACTGAGCCATATCCACAGCGAGGTTATACTTAGTTTAAGTAATGTTAGAACATTTTAAATATACTTATATTTAAGGTGGACAAGAACAGACAAACCTTACCAAACAGATTTATTTTTGTCTGGTATTTCAGGTATTAAAGAGGGAGATCACGCATATATATTGGTGGGTGATGTGCAATACCGCAGTGAAAGGGCTATAGGAAAAGTATGGATATCATGATACTACTGTGTAGTGTTGAATCTGATTTAAGTTATACTGGAAGCTACCAACCCAACTTATGGAATATGAAACACAACATGCAACATAATATATTTGTAGATTTACAGTAAAAATGTGTTTAGTTTAGCTGGAGCTAACCTCTGAATAATGCAGGAAGTTTTCACACTTTGTAAATGAAAAGTTTGAACTACATGAACTATCTGACAGTTAAACAAAAGTGTTCAAAGCCGCTGCATCAACCAGGTAGTACCTTTAACTTACACTAGAGTGCAGTAGTGTACTCTGTAAAAGTGTAACAGGTTTGTGGACCCCCAAATATCTGCTTACCTGGAATGGGATATCAGCCATGGTTTTAGCCAGGTAGTAAGCTTTCAGGCTGTACCAGTAGTTTAGATGTTCCCTCAGGAAAACAGACATCTCTAGAGGAACTAACAGATGGTGCACACAAATAATTCACAATTATCTGTCAATCCATTCACAACATATGGGATTTAGAAATGTCTCTGTTCTGTATAAAACAAAAGACAAACAAATCTGGGTAATTTCCTCCCCTCAATCAGACTCACAGGTCAACACGGTCGGCATGAGCGCTCCAAACATGATAAAGAGCATAGAGAAGAAGAGGAACCCAGTGTTGTTAAAGACCTTGCTCGCGTCATTGCCGATGTTCAGATAGAGCAAGCCTATTAACACACCAATGGCGATGTGGGAGATCAGTCTGAGGCGGGTCAAAACCTGAGAGCAGAACAAAAGCAGGAACAAATGAAGATCCACTCCCAGACAACTGCCTGGTCGTTTTTGGGTAAAGTCTCTTCTTTTAAGATGACTCAATTTAGGTAAAGACTTTACATTTCAATGTGTTTCGAACCAGTGATTAACTGTTATGCATGATATGACTCACCTGGTCTCGACATATAGTAATGAAGGTTCTCTTGAAGAGGATACAGAACTGTGTTAATGTGCTTGTGGCAAACGTATGTCTCTCTATGTGTCCGGCATCCTGGAGAAAATGGAAGCAGATAATCCAGTAAAATGGAAAAAAAGATTAATGAATAATTATGCACAACATCAAAAAGAGCAGGACAATAGATTCTGCTGTCAGGGACACATATACACATCTCTGGGCAGACATTTTGCCCCAGAAACCTGGTGATAATTTGTTGAGAAATACATGTATGTTCAAAGAACAGAAGCTATAATATAGTATAATATAGTGAGTACACTGCATTCACTATATTCTACTATATTCTAGCCATATTATATACATATATTAATGTATCTTTTACCTTATCATTTATCTTGTCCCCCATATAAACAAAAACGTGGCATGTACTGTAAGTGAATATGTTCTGATTTTTGTGTCATATTCTATACTTTACTTATATTACAAGTCTACAATAATACTGCCAAACTAGTTCCTGCTTCGTCACATCATTAGTCTGGTAAACACTGTTAACATGGCTCTGCTACTACTAATCATTACTGTTACAACACATATTTTATTTTATTCATTTATTATATTTATTTTTTTGTTTTGTTGTTTTTGTTTGTTTTTGCCTGTCCTTGTTTGTCTACCCTCCCTCAAAATGTAAAACGTCTTTGGGTTCCAGAAAAGCGCTATATAATTATAATGTATTATTATTATTACACTAACCATACCATGTTACATTTATATTTCCTATCTTCTTATTTTATTCTTATTTAAGTATACCTCTTAGTAGGTTTTAAAAAAGGTTTATCTTATCTTCCCTTTTTGGCTTTCTTGCCTGAAGTGAGATTAGAAGATAACACTCTCATCTTTGTAATGTAAATGTGAACCTACAGCCAGGAGATGGTCATCTAAAATGAGCTCAAAGACTGAAAACAGAGAAGAAAGAGCTTGCCTGGCTTCTTCCAAATAGCAAAATCCACAGGACCTGCCACTGGCTGCAGAAGTGGTATTGCCATTTTGTCCCAAAATCATCTTTTAATCATATCCTTTATATTAATATCTTACGAGTTGACGGTGGAACCAGTAGCCAGTAATTTTTTCAACTTAATCCAAAAAAGAAATAGTTGTTAGCGGAATTTTTTGTGTTGACTTTATTGTAACATGTAGCTTCTACCCATTAGCTTAGCATCTGTTGGTGGTGATCTTTCGAACTGTTGGCTTGAATCAGTGGTGAACCGTCAGGGCCTTCAAGGTATTCAGAGAATACCCTGGAACACTCAGATAAAACAAACAAAAAAATCGATTTAATTATATAAATAAAATGTAATAAAATGTATGTAAAATGAATAAATGAGAATCGTATCTGTGTTGTTGATCTGTAATATTACAGTGTTACGTTGATTTTTTTGTCCTTCTCGGACCATGCACTACGCATTTCAGTGGTTTTGTGCTTAGAAAAGAAAGCAACCAATCAGATCTTGTTCTGGGTCTCTGGGTAGAATATCCTTCAACAAGGTATTCTGCATCCTTGATCGAATGCCCTGGCCGTTGCACTGAATGAGAGCGTACGTTTGGACTGACAGTTTGATCAACCAATCATATATTGATTTGTAGCCAATGGGCGTATTCTTTCAGAGTTTCCCTCGGTTCCAGGGTACTCTAGAAGGCCCGCTAGTTAACAAGCAATTCATGCTGTTTTATTGTTCTCATTCATAACACTCCGTTCGATGTCTCACTATGGGATGCGCCTCATCGCGGAGCAAACAGAAGCATCAATCTCATTACGCCAATCCTGATTGGCTGGTGATCTTGACGTCAGCGTCAGGGAATTCACCCCCTATAAGTAGCTTGCGCCACGACGCATGCGTTATTCAAACACCTCTTCACGCTTCAGAGCACATCTCTATAGTAGCCGGACAAGCTTAACGGTCCACAGACTGAACCCAAATATAACCATTTCGGTCGACGGGCGCTCGCCGGCTACTCCTTCTGCTTTGCAGGAAGACGGTAATACTAACGCCAGTTAGTATTAAAATCGACCTCACCGTTCTCTTTCCCCGGAAAGTAAGTTAGGTCTGATTTTTTCAAGCTAGCAACACACCTGTTGCTAGCTCGCTCCCTCACTATCGACACCACGGTAGCGAGGAAGCTTTTTATTTTCTCTTCCCCACGGAGGAGGAAAGGATTAAAGGAGCATACTGTCACACCAGTCAGTATTCTCCGGGAATAAAAGACCCACACCGTCCTTTTCTCCGGATTAAGGACAGGGTGGTAACACCTTTTTTCTCCCAACTTACCTGTTGAGAGCGGGTCCTCTCCACGCCACGAGGCGAACAAGATGGACGCCTCTCTCCCTCACACCAGAGGAGTCAGGGACTCGGTGGCTCGACTCTGCGGCTGCGGGTTGAAGATCTCGGGCACAGACACACACCAGGTCTGCTCATCCTGCCTCGAGCCGGAACACGCCCGAGGCGCTATCGACAACCCCGGCTCGTGTGGACATTGTGTCCGCTTCACCGTGAAGAGCCTCCGCCGACGGCTAGCACGCCAAGCTAGCCTGTCGGAGCAGGAGCCCCCCATGTCCACTGACCTGCCGGCCGGCAGTCAAGACGTGGGGGCGTCTGCCGCAGAGAGTGAACCCCTCTCCGTGTCGGTCTGGGGCTCATTATCTGCGATGGCTGCAGAACCGGAATCCCGCGCCCTGGCAGGCCGGGACCCGGTGACGGCAAGACACGCGGGAACGGGACCCCACGCTTTACCGAGCTGGGGCTCCCGGTTAGACCTCACCATGGTCTCACCCGCGGAGGATGTCCTCGAGCTGGACTACGATGAGGACGAAGAGGACGCCTCGGTGTTCCTCCTGTCCGAGTCGGATGAACATGAAGAGGACATCTTCATGTCATCGGCTCAGGCTGCAAAGCCTGGAGCGAGGGCTGCTCTCCCGGGCGATAGCACACCAGCTTCGCCCTGTCTGAGCATGGACCTGCAGGCCGTGTGTAAACGCGCCGCGGCCAGACTCGACATCCCGTGGCCTGAAATGGCCAAGGAGACCTCCAGGTCCCGCTACGAAGGGAAACATTTTCCCCAAGCAGCGCGGACGAAGAGGCAACTCCTTCCGGTCTTCCCGGAGATGTTGGATGAGGTGTCGGTCTCGTGGAGAGACCGGCCCTTCAGCAACAAGGTCCCAATCCAGGGTGCCTCCTCCCTAGACTGTGACGGAATGGAGAAGCTCGGCCTGCTCCGCATACCGCCCATGGAACCGCTGGTAGCGGCCCACCTCCTACCGAGGATGGAACCGTCACCAAGCAGGAACCCCACGCTGCCAGCAAAGTCGGACCGATTTCAGTCGACAATGACTGAACGGTCCTACAAAGCCGCAGTGTTGTCCGCCAGGGCCCTGAATGTGTCCTCGCTGCTAACCGCTTACCAAGCGGAGCTCTGCGAGGACCTGTCGGGTAACCCGGTAGCAGCCACTCTGGACGAGATGGCAGCGGTCACGGACATTTGTCTCCGTGTCCAACGCTGCGCCGTCCAGGCCACGGGCAAGGCAATGGGGATCATGGTGGTGCAGGAAAGAGCGAGATGGCTCAACCTCACCAACCTCCCAGACCGGGAAAAGGAGGATGTGCTGGATATGCCCATCGTTCCCGAGGGAATTTTCGGCTCCGCTCTCGCCTCCATGCAAAGGAGGTGTGAGTCGAAAAAGAAGGAGGACGAGGCACTCCACCTCTGCCTCCCTCGAAGGGTCCAGCCGCTGCCTTCGCAGCAGCAGTCCTTCGCCCAAGCTGCCTCGAACCCTGCTCGGTTTAAAACACCGAAGACGCAGAGGTCGCAGCCCGCCCCGAGTCCCCAGCCCAGGCTGGAGACGAGGGCGAGCTGGCCTAGAAAATCTCCGGTTCCGGCTGCAGCTCAGGCGCAGCCAACCCAGAATTTCGGCCAGCAGTCGAGGAAGAAGAAGCGAGCGGCGTGACAGCCCCTCCTTCTCCCCTCTGTGACAGAGCTGGAAGTCCACGGTTCCCCAGCTCTAAATGTGTTCCCGCCGCCTCGAGAGATGCCTCAACACCATCCTCAAGTCCGCACAAACACATGTCACACATTTGTTGATTTTTCTGTCATAAAACATTTGCCGCTGACGCATCCAGGCTTCAGGCCGAGGGCGCAGCTCAAAAAAAAAAATGAAAAGAAAAACAATAAAACCAATAAACAGCCCGTCAACTGTTCCCCTTCTGAGAGCAGCTACGGCATCTCTCAAAAGGCGGATTACAGGCGGGTCTGTGAAGGCACCACCGCCACGCGCATGCGCAGTGCCGGCTGGGGCTTTAAAGGCACCACCGTCGCGCATGCGCAGTGCCGGCTGGGGTTGTGAAGGCACCACCGTCATGCGCATGCGCAGTGTCGGTGGGGATTGTTGAAAAGGGGCACCACTGTGTTCGGACACTAGAGGGCCCCATAACACAACAAATAGAGACTCAGAGGGGAAGAGACGTGACATCTCCACTGGCTCTAAGGAGCATGCAGTGGAAGATGCTCACAATCATCTGCTTGGGTTTTCAAGACAGTAACACGGGGCTACAGACTCCAATTCGCTGTCACCCCCCCTCGCTTCTCGGGCATTCTGCATTCGCAGGCCCGAGGAGAGTCAGCCCATATTCTGGACAGAGAGATTCTCTCACTCCTAGAAAAGAGGGCTATATCTATTGTACCCGCCGAGCAGAGTCAGGGCGGCTTCTATTCCAAGTACTTCCTCGTTCCCAAACGGGGAGGGAACGGAATTCGGCCAATACTTGATTTGAGGGCTCTGAACAAATATCTAAAAAGATATAAGTTCAGAATGCTCACTCACACATCTCTGCTGCGGCTCGTGCGACAAAACGACTGGTTTACATTAGTCGACCTGAAAGATGCGTATTTTCACATCCCAGTATATTACCCACACAGGAAATATCTGAGATTCGCATTTCAGGGGATCTGTTATGAATACAGAGTACTCCCCTTCAGTCTGTCTCTCAGTCCAAGGGTGTACAATGTACGGAAGCCGCGATAGCCCCGTTAAGACAACAGGGTATTCGCCTGGCGACCTACCTGGACGACTGGCTGCTTCTCGCACAGTCGGAGCAGGAGGCTGTTACGCAGACAAATGTCCTCGTAAAGCACCTGCTCAACCTGGGTTTCATAATAAACACAGAGAAAAGCATGTTGTGCCCCGCGCAGACTATACTCTTCCTGGGTTTACGCCTGAACTCGGTGCCCTTATCAGCTCGCTTGTCAGCGGAAAGAGTGAAAGCTTTCAGAGCTTGTCTCGCTCTTTTCCAGCTGCGCAAACATGTTCTCTTCAGATCATGCCTGCGATTGCTGGGGCTCATGGCGTCAGCCATCCTGGTCGTACGACTGGGACGCTTACACATGAGGGAGTTTCAGCGCTGGGTGGCCGCCCTAAAACTAAACCCTGCGTGCCATGGCGCGCGGAGAGTGATGGTTACTGTGAAATGCGTAATGGCACTGCACCACTGGCTGCACCCGACTTTTCTAGTACGAGGTGTGCCTATGGGTGCTGTCCTTTCACGGAAAGTGGTCACCACGGACGCATGTCTGACAGGTTGGGGAGGTATTTATGAAGGTCGCCCGGTGAGGGGTCTCTGGAGCAGAGACCTCCAGTGGGCGCACATAATTTACCTGGAGCTTTTAGCGGTGTTTCTCACCCTAAAACGCTTTCTGCCTTTCCTCAGGGGACATCACGTCCTCGTGAGGACAGACAATACGACCACAATATCGTATATTAACCGCCAAGGGGGTTTGCGTTTTCTCCAGTTACACACACTGGCGCACAAACTGATCCTATGGAGCGGTAGACGTCTCCTCTCTCTGAGAGCGACGCACGTACCGGGAGTGATGAACCTCGGGGCAGATCTACTGTCCAGAGGTATACCACTTTATGCAGACTGGACTCTACATCCAAGGATTGTGAGCCAGCTGTGGGTGCGTTACGGCAGAGCCGCGGTGGATCTGTTCGCATCGAAAGACAACGCTCAGTGTCAGCTGTTATTTTCGATGCGCGATCTAAATGCACCGTTAGGCGTGGATGCACTCGCGCACGATTGGCCCCCGGGCCTTCTGTACGCGTTCCCACCCCTGGCTCTGATACCCCCAACTCTGGCCAGAGTGAGAGAGCAACGCCACACACTTATCCTGATAGCTCCGCACTGGCCAGCTATGTACTGGCTGGCGGAGATATATCAGCTGCTGTGCGGGCAGCCATTACGCAGGGACATACTGTCCCAAGCGGGGGGGGGCGATCTTTCACCCACACCCAGAGCGCTTGGCTCTATGGGCCTGGCCCGTGAGTGGTACAATCTGAATACAGTGTGACATGAAGCTGACCCTGGCAGCTGCCAAGCGAGCCAGTGGCACTCATGCACTATCTGTACAGTCTTCATGCACTCAGTTCGCCCCAGGGCAAACAGAGTGTGGTTGAAGCCCAACCCTGCCTTTATCTTAAGGCGGTTGGTTCAGGTACCACATTTGACATTGAGGCATCCTCCCCGCCACTGTATTCCTCCGGGGAACAGCGGCCGGATTTGCCGTGTCTAGCCCGTGCTGTACGCACGTACAGGGACAGATCAAGGGTGCTTTGTCATAATGACCAACCCCTTGTGTCCTGGGCTAACCCTTATAAGGGCAAGCCTGTTACTAAGCAAATGTTCTCCCACTGGTTTGTGGAAGCAATTGCTTTGGGGCCCATATGAGTCAGATTTCGCAGGCACCCTCGGGTCCGCGAGCTCTTTCGACTCAGGGTCTGGCTGCATCCTGGGCTCTGTCCAGGATGTCTCCCATCCAAGACATTGGTGCAGCGGCGAGCTGGTCCTCGCCGCTCACTTTTGTCCGCCTCTTAACAGGCTGGACGTTCTGCTCCCAGTGTGACTCAAGCAGTGCTGGGCACCTGGTTGAGTTACCTGTTAAGTTCTGGTTGGTTTGGTGATTTTCGAGATAAGCTCGTCTGACAATACGGGAGCTACAATTTCCCATAGTGAGACATCGAACGGAGTGTTATGAATGAGAACTATAGGTTACTTACGTAACCCCAGTTCTCAGAGTAACATGAAGTGAGATGTCTCACCAGACGGCCCTCCTTGCTATGGTGAAGCGAGAAGAGGTGCTTATTTTGAATGACGCATGCGTCATGGCGCAAGCTACTTATAGGGGGTGAATTCCCTGACGCTGACGTCAAGATCACCAGCCAATCAGGATTGGCGTAATGAGATTGATGCTTCTGTTTGCTCCGCGATGAGGCGCATCCCATAGTGAGACATCTCACTTCATGTTACTCTGAGAACTGGGGTTACGTAAGTAACCTATAGTTTTTAACGTTGAAATGACAAGTGCAACAGGTGAAGATGAAGTTGTTGCGGAATTGTTGTGAGTACCCTTTTCAAGACGACACTTCAGTGAAAAGACGGACATTATAATGCGGCGGCGGGGGGTGTGTGTGTCTACAGAAGGTCCAGTTGTGATAGACACGGTTCGCCACTGGCTTAAATATAATACAGCCATACTGGAAACCAAAAAGAGTCCCTTTTTTATTCTGGTAGGTGGATATTGCTACATTTAGACAGAACCAGGCTAACTGTTTCCCACTGTTTCCATTTTTATGCTAAGCTAAACTAAGCTAACCAGTTGCTGGCTCTAGCTTAATATGTACTGTAGCTGGTGTTCAGACATTAGTGTGTTATCAATCTTCCCATCTAACTCTTGGCAAGAAAGTGAATAATAAAATATAACTTTATAAACATATCAACTGAAAATACAATTATTTAACGGGGCATATAAAGGTAAATGTAGAAGTTTGTACTTTTTGGGGGGGTTTCTACTAGAAAATGTTCAACATGCTTCAATGTTAAAACAAATGAATTATTTCTGAGACCCCCTTTTTTTAAAAGGCCTCCCTCCCGGTAAAAACAAAAACAAAACCCTCCTTTGATAAGGGTCTTAGAAATAAGCTTTCTTAAGCTGTAGATGGATATCTGGGTTAGTACATTAAATGCACCTGCATGTGACGTAGGAAAGGAAGCCACATCCCAAGATTTCTGAACAAAATCTGTCACATCATCTACTACACACCTTTTGGCACTTTGTTGCACAGACAGATGTGCCATTGTTTTCACATTGATTCTTCTTCTCCTCTAATGCACACATTCCACCCTGGACTGCCTCAAACAGCACCGGATTCAGGTCTCCATACTCTCCTGATGCCACTTCAATGACTGCACCGGAGGCAAAAGCAGAAAGACACACAGATCATTAAGGAATTAGAATGGTTCTTAGGAAAGTGTAACAAAGACATGTATAAATGTTATGTGGACATACTGAAGTCTGCAGGGTTGTGGTAGGTAGGACAGTAAAGGCCCAGAGTCTTCAGATAAGGGATTAGGTAAGGGACTGTGCCTTTGTAGATACACTGTCCCTGACTGAGAATGTAAAGCTGAGGAGGAACACAATGTATTAAGGTTTGCAACTGACACAGACTGTAATTCATTTTATTCTGTTCCTTTGCCCTTTATAGACATACTTGTACCTTGTCAAACATCTCAAACAGTTTGGCACTGGGCTGGTGGATGGTGCAGATGATGGTCCGTCCTCCCAGCGCCAGAGAGCGCATTAGTGAGACCACCTGGTAGCATGACGCACTGTCTAAGCCACTGAACAGAGAGAGACACACAGCCAGACATTAATGAGCCATCTAAGTAGAAGACATATATGAGTCAGGACAAAGATATTATGAGAAAAAGCCCCTTTTATTGATTGAATTTTCCCCTGAAAGTTTTTTTTTAATGTTATATTAACAGTAACTGGGCATTTTATGAACACATATTTTGAGACATGCTTGTAATTTGCGAATATATTCTCCTTTTAATAAAAACAAGATTTAAGTCAGTGAATTTGATGTTAGATATATTTTATAATGGTAGAACTAGTTTATTGAAAAAAAATAAGTAGAAGCAAGTGCAGACTTGGGTGAAATGTTTTGGTATTAAGAATTCAAACCGTCCAAAGGATGCTAATGTATTGACTTATAAATTACACTATAGAACAATTCACGTTTTTCTTGGCACAGAGCCTAAAAGCAGATTTCCAAAGTTCAGTGCTACCTCTTACCAATTATTGGAGCAAGTATGATAAAGTCCAAAGCTTAAAGTGGACCTATTATGCTATATTTGAAAAATATATTGAGAGACTGTGAAGATTTTGGCATAACATACCAAACCCATTGTAGCCATGCCTCATACTGCTCATACCCCTCTATTGCTGCCCTGTTCCAAACAGGCTGATTCTGCTTTAAATGGAACGGCTGCTGCTAGCCACGCCCCTTTGTAGCGTCATGCAGCTTTCCCCTGCTAGAGAGATTTCTACCCGGAGTAGTGATGGGAATTATGGCTCTTTGAAGGGAGCCGGATCTTATGGCTCCGTTCCTTTGCGAGAGCTGTTCAAAAGAGCCGTTCAAAAGAGCCGTAAGGGGGCGGGGTTACTAGGTTTATCAGCAAAATATATATTTTATAACTCAATCAAATGTAGCCCTGTTTGGACTAATGATTTATATATTGTGTAGTAGCTACACATATATCACCTTTGTACTGAAGTATTCAAAATTAAAAATGACATGTTTAATATAATGATTTGCTGTAGCCAATTGTTTTCATTGCATTTACAGACCCTTGTAACACTCTGATTGTAGAACCACACTACACAAAGCAGATAGCAACACCTATACAAACTGACAACAAATCTTTGCTGAGCCTAAAAATAATCATAAATAAATAACATAATGAAAATACATGTATTGCAATGCTCAAAACAGCAGCATCCAACCGTCTCTAATCCTTGGATACATGTCACTGCATGCATGCACGGAGCACCCGTGTCTTGTATTACTTAACAACAAAAATAACAACAAACAAAAACGTCTCGTTCGCGGGCGCGAGCCGGCTCCCGTCGTTCACTTCAAAGAGCCGGCTCTTTGAACCGGCTCGTTCGCGACCGACACATCACTAACCCGGAGAAGCTCAGCTAAACGCTGCGGTGATTAAATGCCATATTATGCTCCCAACCATTTCAAGCTTTATTTCTGAAGCAGTATGGAGCTCAAGCCTTTCTCTCTCGCAGGGTTTACCACAAGGACATTACGTTACACATTCTCTCCAGTAGCCTACAGCGTTAGCTCCATGGTTAGCTCTGAGTGTTAGCATGCTTGCTAATGTAAACACAGAGCATATTACTCCCAAAACACGCCACGCATTGTTTCTGATACAGCACATAGCTTGACATGTTCTTTCTTAAGTGTTTACTGCTAGAACAGTGCCATTATATATATATATATATATATATATATATATATATATATATATATATATATATTAGGGCCGGGACTTTAACGCGTTAATTAAGATTAATTAATTACACAAAAATTAACGCATTTTAATCGCACTTATTTTTGCACCGCGGAACGTTTCTCACTGGATGAGTTTCAGGCGTACCGATTATACTGGAGCACCAACTAACGTTCATGACTTCAGACAACAACAAACCACAGTGAACAACAGTGGGAAATGTTGTTTTAAAAAACGGACGGATGGAAGCGTCGATAAGAGCACGGTTGTGTGCAAATTATGCAAAAAGGAATTCGCATATCACCGCAGCACATCAAGCCTCAAGTATCACCTCAATGCAAAACATATAGCAGCTGGCGTGGAACCTAGCGTGGACATTAGCCTCTTTTATCGCGTTCACACCAAAAAGAGCCGGTACTAAAATTAGTTCATGAGAACCTTTTTACCCCCACGAAAGTCCCTGCTAGAGAGCAGAGAGCTGCTAGAGAGCAGGGACTTTCGTACGGCTCTCTTGTGAGAAAAGAGCTATATTTCTGATTGGCTGGGCGGATTGCAAACCACGCCCCGTAAAACTCCCAAAAAGTTTTGTGAAGCCGCCATTTTATTATCCTCGCATTAGCATTATTAGCATTAGCCCAGCGCAGAAATGCAGAGAGACTAATTTATGGCAACACAAAATAAAACATGGGAGCGGTGGAGATGAGGAGGTGTCGGCGTTCTGGCGATTTACTCGGAAGGCTGCTGGGACTCCCAGCAGCTTCTACTGAAGCCAGTCCCCAACTCCGGGGACTTCCGGCCGGGGACTTTGGGCGGCAGTATACGCCGTGAAGTGGTTTGCGGCCTGCCAGTAAACCCAAAGCAGAAGAAGAAGAAGTGACGTCAGCGGCTTCATTTGCCTAATCCACCCCCAGGTTCAAAGAGTTCTCATGAACTAAATTCTCATGAACCTTTGTGGGAAAAGTACTGCGGTGTGAATGCGCCTAATGGTATACTAAAATCCATGTGAAAAAAATTGCTTCTCACTGTTCTTAGGTCAAATATTTATATGTGATTAAAAATGCGATTAATTTCGATTAATTAATTACAAAGCCTCTAATTAATTAGATTATTTTTTTTAATCGAGTCCCGGCCCTAATATATATATATATATATATCAACTTTACTCTAAGTGCCTCCTGCAGACATCCTGCTGAATACAGACACACAGCTGCGACTGTATACGGAGACGATAGGTTGGGACGTGTCACGTGTGCCAGAGACGGTAGGTTGGGACGTGGCACGTGTGCCGGAGAAGATAGGTTGGGACGTGTCACGTCGGCCGGATGTCGCCAATGACGTAATAGGAGCGAAAATTCTGGATCTGCTTGTTAGCACCCCCTTTTTTTTTTTTTTTGAGATGTGGGTACGGAAGAAAAGAGAGAGGGTTTTGTTTTCTGACACTTTGTGAGTTCCCTGACACACCAGGGACACATATTTATGTATAAAATACATCAAAAAGTGCATTTTGCATAATAGGTCCCCTTTAATTCAAATAAAAAGGTGACAGATCTTTAACAATGGCCTTATAAAGAAAGATACCAGTGCATATCACATCTCTATGACAGATAGGAACACCCAACCATGTTGGACAGGGTCCCATGGTAAGTGCAATAAGTATCCACAGTAATAACTAGGAGGGAAGGGTAAATCTCAAAGTTTGAGAGTGGAAGCTGCAGCATGTCACACAGACCACATGCCAATAATCCAAGATGCATAGGGAAATGGCTTCAATTGTTTATGAGATTGTCCATATGTCACTTAAATTTAAATGTTCTTGTCAAGCCAGATGCCAGATGTTCTCTGTCCTAATGACATAATCATTCACAATGGATACTGCCAAATGCATTGTAAATAATATCACTGAATCAAGACAACAAACAGCATGCATTTTGTTTGATTTATATTAAGAGTCATTTTTAAAATTAATAAATACAACCTGTATAGCATTAAAGGAGAGTTGCAGATTATCAAAGGCTTGTTGAAAAGAGTCAACAATACAATAGAATGTGTAATTTCCATATAGATGAACTTGTCTACCACACAAATAGTATAATGCAGGGCCCACAGTTGATCCTTGTTGCACACCTTTTGTAATAGGCAAGCACTCTGATGTTGCTCTGAATTTCTTTTTTAGGATTAGTCTATTCTTACGGATATCATATACCCGTAAGAATAGACACATTTTCTCATAGTCTCATTACTGCTGACCTAGTTTAGACTAGACTATAAGTCAGTCAATCAATATTAAATTCACTGATCACACTCAATTCAGACCCCGGCCACACGAGGACGAAAACAGCCGTTTTCGTCCTCGTGTGGCCAGGGCATTAGGCTGCAGCCACACGAGGACAAAAACGGCCGTTTGCGTTACTGTTTAGTGTCATATAGACCATTCGGCCACACGAGGACGACCGCATACGGCACTAAACGACTGAGGAAACGATAACGGGTCCCAAGGTGGATAGAACGGCATACGCAACGCTCTGGGGGGTCAAACAGCTCCGTGTGTGCGCCCTATAAGATCATTTTCTGATAATGATTGCGCAATAGCACCGCCTCTCCCCACCTCTGCTGCTCACCTCCGCGTACCCCGCGCCATTGCTGATGTGTTTCGTCACCAACAACAACAACAATGGCGGATCGCAGAGTTGCTATCGTGCTCCGGACGCTACTGACCATGCTACAGTTCTTTGTGCAACATCTACAGCAGACTTACACATCCGGGGGGGATCTTACTCGCTGCTTTTGTGGATATGTACTGCAGCTTCAGCGATCATTTTCTGATAATGATTGCGCAATATCCCCGCCTCTCCCCACCTCTGCTGCTCACCCCCGCGTCAAAGTAAACTGCACACTGAATTCAGATTATTTATCTTTCTCTCGATATGGACATAAACGCGAGTGAAGTCTAATCTGACAGGACGGAGACACCTCTCAAACTACCTAAACTAGTTATAAATATGTTTATTTTTACTGTCGGCCGGGTCACTCATTACTGGATCAGCTGCTGCATGAGACAGACACTGACGCTGTCCAAAGAGAGGGAGGAAAAAGAGAGGCTCCGTGTATTTTTATTATTATATTATATAGAGTCGTTATTCATTTGTTTTAAAGCTCAATAAATAACAAAGAAGACCTTTGACCGGCACTTTTATAATTTTGTCGGAAGGTTTAAACTTTAATACACGTTGACTGGCGAAAAACTCTGCCCGGTTCCCTCGGCCCCCACCGCGGAGAATAAACAGAAGGGCAACCATGACAACCATGCTTCTTCGCTGCTTTTGTGGAGGAAGTTACAGCGCCACGTACAGGCTCCTGCATGTACTGCAGCTTCTCCAGCGGTTGGAGCTAAACGGAGCTGTCTCGTGTGGGCAGACACTATCCGGATAACTATTGCGTGTGGACGGAAGCTTGTTTGCGATTGCGTTTGCGTTAATCCTATGCGTTTAGCCGTTTTCATCCTCGTGTGGCCGGGGTCTTAGATTATGTATATTGAGAGAGTAGCTCCGTTAGCTAACATGCATAGCTAGCATCAGCAAAAAGGTATCTATGTAACCAAACCACATTGATTGAGTTGTTAGGCCCAAAGATTACCTTTAATGCAAGAAACTTGAGGCATTTTAGACAGTAAAAGCCTTCATATATTTGACAGAGAAACACTCAATGTAATAGTCATGCAAGGACCAGTGTATTCATTATTATGGTTTTCATGAGTGAAACTTTGTGAACTCTGGTCAAAATGTTGTATTTATTTGTATCTGCAAGACTTCATTTGTCAGAGGGTACCAGTGCGTCCTACCGCTTATACATGCCAGATGCTACCATTGCAATTAAGAGTCAAACGGTTTGGGTTTCAAAAGTCAATCCAACACCATATGTCCAGCTGTCACAAGACTCATTATAATTATGCAGCCAGATGTGCTGTCTGGACGAACTGAAACTGCCTTTGGGTCGCCTTTTCAGGAAAAAAAACATCTAAATCCTCAATTCTATTGTTCAAATTTGCATTTTATCCATTACCTAATGAACTTAATAAAGTAAATTGTTGGCATAAACTAGAATAACAACCACATAGGTTGTATATTGTATTCCAATTCCACAGCAATTGACTTCATATGGTCAACGTTTAAATTCTACTGTACATTGCATTGCCTTTTTAATGGAGGCACATTTCAAACAAACAACTAAAATGTCTTATGTGCTATTATTCTTTTTAATTCAGCCATCATCAGCACATCAGCACCTGCGTGTCTCACCTGGTTGGCTCATCAAAGAACATGACTGGAGGATTGTTGACCAGTTCGAGGGCGATGGCCAGACGTTTACACTGACCACCGGACAGAGAGCTGGTACGAGTGTAAGCACAGTCAAGGAGTCCCAGGGCAGTCAGAATCTCATTCACCTGGACAGAGAAAGTCAGAGAGAGATAATTCACAGGATTCAAAAATGGTTTGTTTGATTATTAAAAAAAAAAAGTATTTTTCATTTGTACCCATGAAACAAACACTACTCTAGCGTCATTGTCAAGTATAGACTGCAAAAATAATTTTGAAAGCTAGAAATATAAAAAAAATGTTTGGGCTAGAGACTTTTGATAGATACAGTGTTTAAAGGGGGAAGAGAGAGGGGATGACACTGCCTAATATTTCCACGCTGGAGTCACGTGCGCTGGCCAGCTCTAACCACTGAGATATCTGGCGGCCTGCTAGGCGTATTTGTAACGCTTAATGACATTAAATATTAATTGACAGAAAACAACATACATACATCCTCACAACAAATTAATGGGTAGCTACCACTGATTAAAGCCATTCCTCTTAAATAAATTGGCATTACATTTATGCCACAGCTAAGTAACTGTCTGTGTAAGTTTGTGTTTGCATGGTGGACGCTTACCTACATGTCCTGACAGCCCTGTATTGGCATTTATTTTAGAAACAAAATATAGATACCTGAAAAGGTATAGAAAGCCATCCCTGGACAACTGGCCTTTTATCCAAATTGGGAATACAAGTGTTTCCACAAAGTGGAGTGTGTAAACAGAAAGTTACATTCCAAATTTCTACGGTGATTGGTCGGTTAAGTTTAAATTTGAATTAGGTTGTATTAAAGTGGAAGTATTACTGTTATCTTTTTTTTATGTGTGTGTTTAGTCTGCAAGTATCTAGAAATCCTCTGCGCTATGATTAAAAGTTAGTTTTACATGACTTTCACTTACAAAAGTAAAAGAACATGTTATCAAATTGCTGTTTACTGTCAGGACTTTCACAATGCTAATGCTAACTCTCGCTACTTTGACAGGTCTGCTCTGCACTTACGGTTTTAGCTTTCTTTGTCGGAGTAGGTTGGAGACATTTAAATAGTATATATGTGTTGCCATTTGTATGTTAAATAGATTGGCTGTTTTAACATGTGTCACATAACTAATCTCTTTTGTCAGGGTAGTTTTGAACCTCAGATTTTAGGGAAGTGAAAAACGTGTAATGTAGTCAGGTCAAGACATTTAAGGGTAAAGATAAGTAAAACACATTTTTTTATTGAGGGAATCTCTATGCTAGTAGATGTTATTTGTTAAGCTCACCAGTTCTTTCTTCACATCCATAGTTTCATTCAGCTTTAAGTTAGCTGAAACCTGCAGCAAAAAGGAAAATCAAGTTATTATCATGTAATGCAACTATTATTTCAGAAGCTCAATAAGAAGATCAAAAAGATCACAATAACTATTAACCTTTTCATCACAGGATAAGACACAATGTAAAAGATAATAAAAACATTAACACAAAGCCTCAACATAAACAAACGTTGAGGATGAGTTTGTCGTGGCTTTGAAATAAGCAGTGTCAGAAACAGCTCACCATCATGGCCTCTAGTGCAGTGAGGTGTGGCAGCAGCATGTCTTCCTGCATGATGTAGCAGGACATTTTCCTGAATTTCCTCAGGTCCCTGGGTTTTCCATTTACCAGGATCTGACCCTTCATCCCTGATTCCCTGGAATGCAGGAAGGACACACACACACACACACACACACACACACACACACACACACACACACACACACACACACACACACACACACACACACACACACACACACACACACACACACACTGGACAGTTGAAAGGCTAGGCATACTAAAGTTATGAAAGCTGTGAAAGCTAATTTCTCTTAATCGTGATCATTTAGTCTAAAAATGGCTTTTCTAAACCAGCAACTTTGTCACGTAACATTTAGAACTAGATAACAACCCTATTTCTTTAACTCTACATTTAAATACAAGTTTGGCACTCCTACCTGTATCCAGCTAGAATATTCATTAAGGTGGACTTCCCGGCCCCAGAGGGCCCCAGGATTCCTATCAGCTCCCGAGTGCAGAACTTTCCGGACAGGCACTTCAGTAAGGCTTTGTAACCTGAGAACAACAAAGGGGGCGTTAATGGTACTGATCACTTCAGCATGGCTATATTAACAATAAGAAAGAAAGTATCACATCATTCAACAACATCTTACTCTAAGGTCACATTCACACCAGCCTTGTATAGTCCGGTTGAATCGAACCCTGGTGCATTTAGCCGCTTGGTGCGGTTCATTTGGGTTGGTGTCAACGCAGTCCGAGACCTCTGAAGTGAACTAATCAACCGGACTCTGGTCCGCCTAAAAGAGGTGGTCTCGGACCGCTTGCTAGTGAACTCTGGAGCGGTTCATCGCTGGTGTGAACGCAGCCCGCACCAAAGCATAGGAAGCGTAGTAAATACGTGTCACAAGAACGCGGAGGTCATCAAAATCTTTTGCGAAAGAGTGAAACAGAATGAAGTGTTGAACAGTGTTGTGTATATAGCCGTGGGAACATGTTTCAAATGGGGGGTGCTGTGGGGATGACACCAAGGCCGGTTCTGACCAATTTGCTGCCCTCTACAAAAGACCAATACACTACAAAAAGAGACATGGTGAACAGCTTATATAAAACGGCTTCAAATGTATTTAGTATTGTATGAACATGTTTTAATTGGAGAGTGGACGTTACATCTTCAAGGGGGGTCCAGGGGTATGCCCCCCCGGAAAGAAATGTTGTAACATTTTAAAGTAAAATGTTTCAATCTGTTGCACTTTGAGCCCCCAATTACTAGAGACCTGATCTAGGGCAGTGGTTCTCAAAGTGGGGTCCGCTACCCCCCGGGGGTCCGTGGCACTCTGCCAGGGGGTCCGTGAAAAGTTTTCAGATTCATTAATTTAAATGATCATGATATCATTTTTTTTTCATTTTTTTTTTTTTCAACAAATAATCTTTTTTTTTTTTAATCTAAAATATTTCATAGATTACGTTCAAATCTAACAAATAGATACATTTAAAAATCAAGCGCGTTACCGTGGAAACAACAATAACTGTTACGTCAGTCAAAGAGCGCCGCTGCAAGCATCATAGATATATAACACGGCTTGCATACTACGAAGATGGACAGATTTTTAAAACGACCGGTTACGGCTACAAATGAAGTAAATGAAAAACAGACAGGTCCACAGAAAACTACCGGTATGCTTAGTCCTAACTTACTTTAGTTACTGTACTGCAAAAAGCAGACGGCGCTGCGCTCAACACACAGACAGACTCAAAACCATGGACACACTGGCACATAAGTTACATAAACAATTTCTAGGCCTAAATTGCATAAGCTACAGTATTGCAACTAAGCAGACAGTTTTCTCTCTCTCTCTCTCTCTCTCTCTCTCTCTCCTCTCTGATCTCTCTTCTCTCTCTCTCTCTCCTCTCCGTCTCCGTCCTCGTCCGGGCTCTCCCTCTCTCTCTCCTCTCATCTCTCTCTCGCTCTTCTCTCTAAAAGGCTCTCTGCTCTCCTCTCGGTCTCTCTCTCCTCCGTCTCCTCCTCTCTCTCTCTCTCCTCGTCGCTCTCGGTCTCCTCAAATCTCTGCCCTCTCACCTCTCAGCATCTCTCTCTCTCTCTCTCTCTCTCTCTCTCTGTGTGTGTGTGTGAACAAATTGTAATTTAAAACACATTTCTTACATGTCTACACCACCTTGCCCTCTTTGGATTTAATCAAGAAACATTAACCCTGTATAATGTTAACCAAAACTGTAAAATTATGTTATATTACTAAAAACGTATTATTGGGAATCGCGAGAAGTTTCAGAGCGACAGAGACACAGAGCGTCCCCGTAACCATGGTAACTCACTCTCACTCCTGCCTGGTGCGTATGGCGCGAGAGGAGAGGGAGAGACGCAGAAGTGAGACTGATTACTTTGAGCAACATGCATGGGAATAAGTTACAATATAATACATTTGTGTATATTTCTCACTATTCAGATGGTCATGGTGCTGCTGTTGCGCAATGTGCAGAAGTGTCTTCTTTTCGCACCATGACATTATCAGTTATGAATTTGTTTTTCACTGCTTGAGAAAACGGACTTGTGGCTGAGAGCGTGTGAAAAATGTCAATTGTGTGAGAGTTGGCAGCCCTGTGACCTCGCTTGACATTATTATGTATGAAACTGCCAATCAGATGTATTTACTTATTAATCGAAGGTGCCGGAACGCTGTTCTGGATCGTTCCGGCCCAACCGGACCCCTGTGTGTGTGTGTGTGTGTGTGTGTGTGTGTGTGTGTGTATGTTCTGAAATGCACTTCAAATGATCACTTTTCTCTTGATTTCCCTTTGATATTTTCTTTAGGTACAGTGTTACTTGCAGCTAATTGATTGATTGTTTTATGGGTATTCTGTGTTGAGATGGTGCAAATATTTTTAATACATATCCAATATCTTTCTAATACATTTCTCTTGTGTTGTTCTTTCACATAACTAAGACTATAGAAGTGTAAAAAATAGGCTACGTCAGATTATTCCAAGGGACATACAAGTCAAATCAAGTACATTTGTATTTATATAGCCCAAAATCACAAATCAGAATGAGGGGGTCCTTGGTGTATTCTCTATCTTGTAAGGGGTCCTTGGCTGAAAAACAATTGAGAACCTCTGATCTAGGGGGTACAACTTTAAACACCCATATTAAAAAGATCAGTTTGCATTGTATTAATCAAATAAGTATGTGAACATAACCAATAACCTACAATAGCCAATAACAAATTAATGTAACTTATTTTATTTTTGTTGTTCATTTATATCTTATTTTACCTAGTTAACATTTATTTATTTATGCATATTCTTTAATTTCAAGTTTTAAACGATATTTTTGGTTACTGTCCTATATACATTGGAATGATTTCAAACCCGTTTTTATTAGGGATGCTCCGATCGATCGGTCACCGATCGAGATCGGCCGATACTCACTCTCTACCGATCGATCGGTGCTCTCTAAACATGCCGATCGCGAGAGCCGATTGCATGACGTAAAATACATGACACTTTTCTCTGTGTGCGGCAAAACAAGCTCGCCAAAATGGCTTCACCGGTCTGGCATTATTTTAAGGTGTCCGAAAAAGACAGTAAAATAGCGGTATGCAACGTGTGTGAAGCAGAAATCCTGCAGCTCCGCCCGCCGGACCGGTAAGCGGAGCGAAACACACAAGAGTTAGACCTAACACACTTAGCTATTTATCTACCTCTGGAACAAGCTAAACTAGTCATTATAAATATATGTATTCTTCACTGTTGGGTCACTCATTACTGGATCAGTGAGCTGCATGAGATACTGACAGGCTGTCAGGAGAGGGAGAGAGGGGGAGAGAGAGAGGGAGAGAGGAAAAGAGAGCGCTTCCGCTCATTTCTCCCGTGTTATTGAAGTGAATGTAAACTTGAATAATGTACATCATTTGAATGTAATAATTAAGTTGATTGTTGTTTGTGGAAGCTCCAGTGAATGAGCCCCATTAACTGAGTTTTAAACATCAATCAATCAATCAATGTTTATTTATATAGCCCAATATCACAAATGTTACATTTGTCTCAGTGGACTTCACAGTTTGTACAAAATATCAGTATGACAATACGACACCCTCTGTCCTGAGACCCTCACATCGTACAAGGAAAAACTTCCGGAGAAAACCCACAGTTTTAAAGGGAAAAATGGGAGAAACCTCAGGGAGAGCAACAGAGGAGGGATCCCTCTCCCAGGACGGACAGACGTGCAATAGATGCCGTGTGTAAATTGAAAAGATAATACATTTGCAACATAGGTAGTCCAAATGTTTGGATGAATCCACGAGGATATCCATCCAGGACCTATGATCCAGGACCACAGTCACGACTCAAGATCCAGAGCTCACGATGCAGGACACAGGACCGCAGGATCATCCATGACTCCAGATCCCAGCGTATATAGACACCAAAAAGAAAGAAATGTGGGGAAGCTGGGTTAATCGGAACATGAGAGTACACAGGTATAGACAGATAGAAGGAAGAAGTAAGATGTCCCCCGACAAACTAAGCCTATATCAGCAAAACTAGGGGCTCAATCTAATCAGCCCTAACTATAAGCTTTATCAAAAAGGAAGGTCTTAAGCGCACTCTTAAAAACGGATAGGGTGTCTGCCGCCCGAACACAAACTGGAAGACTCTAGGAACAACCCTGCATTCTTGGAACGCAATGCCCTAGTAGGACAGTAGGGTATAATGAGTTCTTTAAGGTAAGATGGCGCCTGCCCATTAAGGGCTTTGTAGGCGAGAAGAAGAATTTTAAATTCTATCCTGTTTTCTATAGGGAGCCAGTGTAAGGCAGCCAGAACAGGAGTAATGTGGTCCCTTTTCCTAACTCTGGTTAGTACACGAGCTGCAGCATTTTGAATCCGCTGAAGCGACTTGACTGACTTCTTGGTACACCCTGATAATACAGAGTTACAATAATCCAGCCTTGAAGTAACAAATGCATGGACTAGTTTCTCTGCATCGTTTTGAGGCAAGATATGCCTGATTTTTGCAATGTTACGTAGATGGAAGTAGGCGGTCCTTGAAATTGATTTTATGTGGGCGTTAAAGGATAAATCCTCATCAAATATAACACCAAGATTCCTTACAGTCTCACTGGAGGCCAAATTAATGCCATCCATAGTTAGTATATCTTTAGATAATTTGTTTCGTAGATTCTTCGGGCCAAGTACAATAACTTCAGTTTTGGTCGTGTTTAACATCAAAAAATTTAAGGTCATCCACGTTTTTAAGTCCTTGAGGCAGTCTTGAATTTTAGATGATAGATGATTAATTTCATCAGGCTTGATTGATAAATATAGTTGAGTATCATCCGCATAACAATGAACATTTACAGAATGATTCCTTATAATATTGCCTAACGGAAGCATATATAATGTGAACAAAATAGGTCCGAGCACTGAGCCCTGTGGCACTCCATGGCTAACTTTGGTTTGCGTGGAAGATTCATCATTGACACGTACAAACTGAGAGCGTTCAGATAGATAGGACCTAAACCAGCCTAAAGCAGTTCCCTG